AAAACGTATATATTATACTGATTTTCCATAAAAGTTATACGTTATAAAACTTAATATTTTTATGGAATTTTTATATCGAATTTTTTATTGGGTTAGTATGTTATATTTAAGATTTAAATAATTATATATAAAAATATAATAATTTAATTAATATTAAAACTGATTTATTAAAATACAAATAACTGATTAGGATTATATTATATTATTATTAGTAAATTTATTAAAATATTAAATTATCAAAAATAAACATATCAATTAATATATTATCTAAATAAGTTGATCTATTTTTAGAATTTTAATTAGAAAGAAATAAAAAATTATATTTTAGTAAAATTTTTATATAAGAAATTATTCTAACTAAATGTTAAAAGAAAGTAGATTTTGAAGAGAAAATTCCAAAAGAAAGAAGAAAATAGATAGAATTATTATGATAAAACATTATAACAATTTTGGTGCAACCTAACAGACGCGTTTATTGCTAAATTTGGTAATTTTCAACATGTAGAACGATATATACTCTTCGGGTTTTCAAAAAAAAAAAAAAAAAAAAATAATTTCCCACTTTCTTTTCTTTTCGCTATTTCCTGTTTCACCTTCTCTCGCGAAGACAGTTTTTCGCAAGCACATTCTGTTTTTGTGTCACCTCCTTCACCCCATTTATATATATAAAAAACCAGAAGTTTCTTTGGAAAACAGCTGCAAAAGGTCTTCTGGTTCTTTACGCGGTTCCAGTTATGCACCTCCCTTTTCAGCAAAGAACTTCGACCAGAAAGAAACTGGTTATCAAACTCCAGAACAGATATCTGGTTACAAACGCCCAGAAGAGACAGAACTGGGGTATCAAACCGCCAAGAAGGAAAACTTGGGGCATGAAAGAAGGGTATAAAAATAAAAAAAAAAAAATAATAATAATAATAAATAAAAATGGCATTAGATAGAAACCCAAAGGCTCTCTCTCCTTGCATAGACTGGGAACTTTGCTTGGTTGAGGAGCTTCATTTTTTTTTTGGGTTGCGATTAATACTGACGTCCTCGTCGTACAACCTGGCTACTAGTATTATTTTCTAGTAGCGAGCAAGTACTATGTTTGATTTTCAGTTTAGGTTCGCGTTCTCTGGAAATCGATTTTTTAATGTGTAATCTTCTAAATGTGTGAAAAGTTTACTAATAATCATTAGATGGCTTATTAATCGGATGAGGTTAAGGTCGCAGCTTCTCTTCATTCTTAATTATGCGATACCATCAAATGAACAAAATTAATAAAAAAGTATAAAGGAATCTTCTCAACGTATTCAACAAGCAACTGGAACACCAATGAAGATGAGGTGCTAACGATCGCAATTCATATTTTATAAATGATAAATGTTAGCCAATCAACTTAACTCTGTGAAAAAAAGGTGATTTGTAGTCCAAAGTTTGTTCAATAATAAACTCACTTAAACTAATAAAAAAATTTTTTTCGTTCCATTGGGTTAGAGCGTCCATAGCTTATAAAATTTATCAAAACTCGGAACCAAAATTAAGTTGTTATACCTATAGGGCTTGATAAACTTTGTGAAATACACGTGAAAGAAAGAATCTTTAATTGTTCTTTTATATTCAAAAGAAAATTTTCTAAAAAAAAAAAAAAAATCTATGGGAGCATTACAACCGATTTGAAGTTTTAATTGCGAAAACAGACTAGAAAAAAAATTATTTTTTCTTTTGTACCCTAAAACGTTGCTCGGAGATTCAACTCCTAGGTAGACCCGCTAGTTTGTTATAAATAATCTTTTTTATATTCCCCATTGCTAGTTAGTGTAGATAATGATAATTATTAAAAAATCATACTCCGAACTCTGTTAGATCAACAGGCAGTAATAGTATTACATTTCCAAAATACTTCCTTCTTAAGAGAGATAATCTAGTGCTGGACGTTACCTCACTGGTAATTGTCTAATTGGTACGAGGATGTAAAGAAGTTCCTCCTCTGATTCGTTTTTTTCTCAACAGAATCGCGATCGCGAGGAATGGTCCCATTATTTACGGTTGACGGTCTTATGAAATTTTGATTAATTGTTAAATAATTTACAATCTAGATTTATTCTTTCTTCGATTTGTAATTTTTAATTATAAAAAAATATATTTTTTTGAATAAATAAACGCTATTTTATTCTTTTCGTAAAATAAAAATTTTTCATTTCTTTTGATATTTCATTGTAATGAACTTTCCCACTTTTAAAAAGGAGAAGAAATTACTCTAATAAAGACATACAAGAATTTCCTAAAATCTTTCCATAATTTAAATTCCAATCGATAGTTAATCTTATTTTGTAATATTGTACGGAACCAACAATATGTTCATCATCCCAAGTTAATTCTGGATATATGGTCTTTAGATACTTTTTGATTTCATCTTTATAAATAGACATAATATTATAAGCAAAATGTTTTGTAGATTCAAATATATCCGTTAAACTCTTCTCTAATCCTGCGTTAACAGTAGCTTGTCCATTATCGAGAAAACAAATAACTATATATGTACTAAAATTTTTAAATGAATTTTTCATCATAAAATATTCCGCTACTTCTTTTATTAATTCCTTAAAGGTGTTTACCAATGCATTCACTTTTGAAATTACTATCTTATCAATTGTAGTTGATGTTGGTCGTGGTATTTGAAAATAATCTAATTCTATTTCTATCTCCTTAGGGTTAATTGATATCGGTCCAACTTTTTTTTTATACCAAATCGATTTAAAAAATATAAATCCATCATTAGCAAATTTTTTTTTTTTTTAAGAAAAAGAAACAGAATGTTTAAAAATCTAATCACCTCGACTATCTATATTTATTTTTCCCGTTCGATAAAATTGCATGATGTAATAAAAGATTTGTCCTGATCGATCAATAAAATATTCATTTCCATTCTTTGGAATTAATAATGATCTATTTCTTTCTTGAAACATGGTCCCAAGAAAGGTATCAGGATATGCCGTAAGCGTTGAACGATATGTTTCATACTTGTAAAAATAATTGAATATAAATTTACGTTGTCAAATTCCAAACGTAAAGTGCTCAATGTCAAAATTACCTTGACTCCGCCAACGTTTAATATAACGGTATCATCCGGTGTGAAGAATTTGGTGGATTTGATTTCTTCATTATCAGTCTTATCGGTCATGGTTTGGGGAAAAAAGAAAAAATTCAAATTATCGAGAGAAAATTTATATTGAATTTTGTGTCATGTAATACCAATTTGATGCATTCATATCTTTCCTTTTTAGTTAATGCTAACTAGCACTACATAAGGCCGGTCCCCAATATCAATTATTTATTATAGTATATTTAATATTTAATCTATACTTTGAAAATGATCGCGTAAGCTTGACATCATTGATTAAAATTTATCGCCTATAACGGAGTTAATTAGATTACGCCTGATTAGTAAACTCCGCAACATAACTTTTACGCTGCAGCAATTCGATTAATTAGACAAGTTTGAAACTGTCTATATAGTTGATGTGCCTTTACATGAACATGGAGCTTGTTAAGATAATTGGAAACTATTTACGTGCTATCTGTTTACTAACGCTGGTACGGTCTTAATGATATAGGAAATCCTTATGAGAGAGTAAAAACATTTATTTTAATATAAAAGCACATGTATGAAAAGATTGGCACCCATTAGATATTTCAAGCGGTCACATGATTTTTAACGATATTTTAATGATTATCCGTAAACTTCTAGAGTTCATGGTCGATTTATTTCATTATTCTCTAGCTTCAAGCAAGATGGATTTTATTAAAAATATACGTTGTTACGAGAATGTAAAAATATAATCATACATGATGACATTTATACATATACTATGGGAGGGCAGTTTTCATACCATTCAAGCGTTACCTCTATTTTTATCTATCCAATTTCTGTCAATGACTTTTGCAAGCATCATCGCTCTATTACTGTTAGCATATGTTCGATACTTTATGAACCACACTATATCGTATGATCAAAATCAAGAGTACCATTTCATAAATTGGACACTAGCCACTCTCTTTTATCATCAGTAAAACTAGGGGTTTTTCAAAAAAGATTAACGCTTCCTTAATCGAATCAAACGAATAACTACATCTTTAAAATATCATGAAATTAAATCATTTTGAATCACCATCCTTTTAATAAATTATTACTTTACTTTTTTTACAAATGATTGTCGCGTCATGAAGATATGCAATTTGTTGATCGGTATGATCAGGAAAATTTTATCATCATCTTTTTCTTACCACACTAAAATAATAAAGATGGTAGCAAATTTAACACTTTCACCAAACGATTTAACCGTGAAACTGGTATACAATTATTCAGCTCCACCTAATGTTTCACTTCAGGAGTCTAATGTTGAGGTATTATCCTTTGTCATCATATATCATTATAAATTAAAAAAATATTTTTTAAAATGTTTTTGATTTTTAAATTAGAATTCAACTTTAACGCTTGAAGATGGTAACACGTTCACAGGGACCACTTCTGTAGTCAATAGTTTAGTTGAACATTTTGATCCTAGTTTAAAGGTCAAGAATGAAACTGATAAGACTGAGGTAAAAGATAACACACTATGTCTTGACATTTATAATAATTATTTTCGTTCAAATGAAAATTTTGATAATTCATAGGTTCAAAAATGGATCAAATCAACCGAAGAAGCTGATAAAGATTCGTCCAAAGTGGCTAATGTAAGGTTTGAAATTTATCCGTTTTGTTGAATGAATTGATCCTTGAATCTGATTATCACGTTATCACATAGGAATTAAATCATCACCTAACCACTCGTACTTATATCGTTGGAAATTATTTAACCGTGGCGGATTTAGTCGCGTTTGCCCGAACTTATAATTTCGTGGTGAGTATAATAAAGTTTTTTTTTTATTTTTAAAAAAAAAAATTTGTTTTCAGATCTAAAATCGCGTCTCTAAATTTAGCAAGATTTTATTGCAATAGGCTAAATTATCTTCTAAAGAACGATTTGAATTGCCTAATTTAACGCGTTGGTTTGATCTGATCCAAAATACCGCAGCTTCTGAGTCGGGTCCCAAAAGCGGGTTGGATACTATAAAAATCGATTTGGAAGCTCCAAAGGTATGAAAATTTCATTGATTTACAAAATTTTTATTTTTTTAAAGGATTTATTTAATGAAAAGTATTTTTTCCTTTGATTGCAGGTTGAAAAGAAAGTTAAAAAATCTAAAGATCAATCAAAAAGAGATGAAGCAATTGAAGCTTCTGCTGCTGGTTCGTCCACTAAAGAAGGTAAGAAATCAGATAAAAAGGCAGCAAAGGAAGCTGAAAAAGCTTCTAAAAAAGGAGAGAAGAAAGAGAAGAGGGAAAATAAAAAGGAGGCTACCGTAGAACTGGTTATTTCACCTTCCTTGTTGGATCTTCGAGTTGGACATATTATCAAGGCCGAAAAACATCCCGATGCGGATTCACTATATGTTGAAAAAATTGACGTTGGTGAAGCTGAACCGAGGACCGTAGTTAGTGGTTTAGTTAAATATATTCCATTAGATCAAATGCAGGTTCGTCTTAGTTATTTAAATATCATGAATGAATTTATTTCATCATAATAACATTTAGCTCCTTTTTTATAAGGATCGAGACGTTGTATTGGTCTGCAATTTGAAACCAGCTGCGTAAGTAATTAATTCGTTTTTAAATCAGATATATATATATATATATATATTATAAAACATTTTGCTATTTAAAAATTAGAATGCGCGGAATCAAATCATTTGCAATGGTTCTTGCAGCGACATCAGCTGAAGGCAATGTTGAACTTGTTGACCCACCACCAGGGTCGAAGCCAGGCGATAGAGCATATTTTGAGGGATATGAAGGTACAAATCATTTTTTTTAAAACCTTTTTTTTTTGATAAAGTATTTCTAATTTAATTTTAATTATCATTATAGAAGGGAGTCCGGAACCTGTATTAAATCCAAAGAAGAAAGTATGGGAAACTTTACAACCTGGATTAATAACAACTAGTAACAAAGAAGCATCATGGGTCAAAAGTGAGGACAAAAGTGTCCATTTACTTAGAACTGAAAAAGGTATATGTACTGTACCAACTGTTGTTAACGCCAGTATTAAATAAATTGATTTAATTTATGTATAAGACGTTATATATTTAAAAATATATTAAAGAAGGGAGGTTTATCAGACAATTGATAAGTTCTTTATTACAAAAATGATTTTAGAAAATACAAATGAATAAATAAAATAAATAAATACAAATAAGTATGATTTGGTTCAAAATAAATAAGGAATCCCATCACCAAAAAAATTCTCATAATAATAATTTACTCGGCATTATATTGAGCAATAAAATTAAAAGTATTTGGTTGCGAACAATAGGTTAAATTCCATTTACCCTTTTTATCGACGCAAGTGTCAAGTGCAAAAGTACAACTATCGCTTGTACTTGAAACTTTTGGAAGATCTTTTGTGGTCTTATCCGGTAAAAATAATGCAAAAGAAGGTAATTCTGATTCGGATAAATCAAATATTGTGATCTCAAATTTGACATGTTCATTATAAGGTAATTTTGCATGAATAGGATTTTGAATGGTGAAACTAAACGGTACACTATAAGTATCTACGTAAGGTGTGAAATGTTTACCAGACCCGGAATTTTTAACTATAAAAGAAGACACTAATGGACCCTAGAAAAAATAAATATTTTCCTGTTAATATATATCTTGATATATATAGAGATAATATTGTAAATAATTCTTACCTCATTACCCTTCAACATGACAAAAATGTTAAACTTTCCTTCGCCTTTACTTGGACAAGTACATGACAATTTGTACTTTCTACCACCTTTTGGTCCGGGTGTGGCAAGCCTTTGAATCAATGCTGTCAATTCTTGACCCTTCCATTCAAGAGTAGCATGTAAAGGTTTACTCTCGTCTGGATGAATTCTTTCGATTTCCATGGTAACTTTATCATCCGATACTTTAATCTCATTGCCGAGATGTTTAACGAACCCTAGACCGGACGAAAAGAATTTTGGCTTAACGTACGGTAAATCAAGAAATTCTGCTTTGGTAAGTTTTGGTTCTACATATTGTTGTTCTGGTTTTTCTGGAAAATGACTATAAATGAATTGAGTTGGAGAACAAAGGAAATGAAACGGTTCGAAATGTTTTTCAAACTCTGTTCCATTAAGAATACCGGCTCCCCACGTGTTATCAACCAAGAGAAATTCTCCTTTATAAAGTACACCGTTCCACGAATGAGCGAATTGACGACTATCAATGTCACAACCAGGTGTATAGCCGGCACCTTTTAAAAGATAATCGAATAATCTCACGTTATTATCAAAAAATAAATCGCCAGTTTTAAAATATATATCTATATATTTACCCTTAGCTTGTCCGCTTATTTTCCAAACTTTTAATCCTGCGTTGCTGGCTAATTTATCAAATAATTCGGCATATCCATCACATACCGCTTTACGTGTTTTCAAAACGTCTTCTGGACCACACTGTTGGATATTGCCACCAAAATACGCGTCGGTATCATACTTTACGTTATCGGCGATCCATGTGAAGATGCAACGCAATTTATCCAATTCATTATTCCAAGGTTTGGTAAGGTATTTTGATAACCGTGCAGCGTTCTCGGCTTCAGCTTTCGGAGTTTCTCTGGCATAAGCATCGACTTTGGAAAAATCATGATCTAGAAAAAATGATAAAACATTGTAACGAAAAAACGGGCTTTTTTTTGAAAATTAACACGTGATTTATGAATTATTTATATGAATTACCAGTCAGATCAAGATGTTTCTTGAAATCGTCAACGTCGACAACAGGAGAGCATCGACTATATAAATATATAAATAAATAAATAAAAAGTTAAGAAAGCTTGAGATAGGAAAAAATAAAAATAAAAATAAAAATTATACCAACCTGGCGGGATCAGTTTTTTCACCTTTGTGACCTACAGTGCTATCATCCATTTCGGGTTCGTCGGGATCAACTTCATCGGGTCTTTTATTGGCATCGGGTGGTTTTACTACTTCAATTTTTCCTTCGGGAAGCTTTACTTCGATCGGTGAATTGCTTTCGTAAGTTTTAGTTATTACTTCAACAGGTACACCTATTGTTATAATAAATAAAATTTATTTTATTTTATTTTATTTTTTTCCTTAAAAACGAAAAAGAAAATATAAGGAAATAAATGATATGTACCATTTTCGAGACGTTTTGTAATTATAGTTGTGCTATAAGTGATGACAGGCTTGTCACTTGTTCCGTTAGTATCCAAGTGGTTCTTGAGGTTTTTCAAGAAATCCATTTTTTTTAATTGATGACAAAAGTTATGAACGTTATAAGAAAAAAAAAAAGTAATTTATATATTATTTCTTTCTTTTTTTTTTTTGGTGGTAATAATTCCGAATTGAATTGGCACGCTTTTATATTGAAAATTTTTTAGATCAGTTGACTTTCGAGATGGTTTTTTTTTTACTTATCTATCACTAATTTACTAAAATGTAATTTTTTTTTTTTTTTTTTTTAAACGATTAAAATTTCGCACGCCAAAAATGTGGTGCATGACTTATTCATTCTACTTGATAGACATACACAGCCTTTTTTTTTTTTCTTGAACATGAATAGATGCAGTATAATTGAGAATTACCTGAGCATACACCATTGTACATCATGACCTATTTTGATATGGGCTAAAAATGTTTTTGACCGCAAATTTTACGATATCCTAAATTAGTTGTAATTATAAATAAATCAAAAAAAACTTAAATTAAAAAAATCCTGTTTTAACAAGTATATTTAAATTAAATTAAATCGAGATTTGACAATCAAGTTAATCAACTTTATGTATGATAAAGTTTTGTCATTTTTTTTTTTTGACCAAAAAGAACCTTTTCTTGCCGTGAAAAAGACCAAAAATGGTTTAAAAGAATTTTTTGATCGAGGGGGGTTTTTTTTTTTGCTTCGGATCATCCAAATCGTTTAATTGGAATATTTGTTTGATTAATGCGAGGGGTATTATCTAAAAAAAAAATTTCCTGCAAATTTTGATTGATCGAATGCACAACATTATAAACCTTTTTACGGTGAGATTTATTAACCAACTTCTTTTTGAAATTGCTGAACGTGCGTTGTTCGTTCAATATGTCTAAGAAGAGCTAATAAGGCATCGAACGTGGTATGGTTTTTTAAAAAAATCATGGGTCCTTTCTTGGATCAAAATGTTTAATAAATTCTCTTGCATGTTTCGATCAAATTTAAAAATGTCCTAATTATTATTATTATGAAATATTTCCCGGAACCTGAACGGGTTTATGCATTTTTCTCGTCACCACATTTCCTATTAGTATTCGCTAATTTGCTAGGAAGTTATCAAACATGATATTTTTTTATTATACCCTAAAGGGACTGGACTGGCCCGTGCACCTCTGTGTAACAAATAGCAATTGAACATACATGTATATTTATAGAGAAAAATATTACAAAGTTTTAATGGTCAAAATTTATAGTATCACTATGTTTTATTTAAAAAAAAAAATAATATAATTTAAATGGTGTAGGTAAATTAAATCTATAAGCGTATCCTTCAATTTCTCGATCTTACGCTCTTTGGTATAGCCACGCCTTTCAAAATCCGCAATACCCCGACCTTTTTAACAAATTCTAGTTCCTCCTCACTTTTCACCAAGAACATTCCCGTAAATCCAAGAGAATTAACAGATATTTGCTCATATTTCTCACAATTTCTTGGTACTATCATCATCCAAGTGTGGGTAATCACAAAATTGTATGACAAAGGAGTCGGACTTGCACTCGATTGGGAAGATCCCAATTCTTTAATCATGGCGTTCAACAATGAATGATAAGTTTCGGTTAAATATTGACCAACTTCCTCTTGATAACTATGACCAAGGTGCCCACTCAATTTTTGAGGGTCTAACAGCACCACATAGTGAATATAAGGTAATTCAGTAAAGTCGAAAATCTCGCCTGGTTAAGGAGGGCACGTGACCAAAACATAATTAGTTATGATGATTTGAAATTAACTGGATTTGAAATGGATGAATTTTTTTTACCTGGCTTCTTGTGTTGACAGGTGTAAATAATACCATTGATTGGAGGTGAAAAACGGATGTCGCTTGGTAAGGGGATTATCTGCATATGTTTATGTGATTGACTTGATCATTTTAAATAATCAAAATTATTATTGATTGAATGTTAAATGAACAAGTAAGAAATTACATGTCTTATCCCATTCCTTCTCCTGTAACAAACAATACCTTGCACCAGAAAAGTCTCCACAGTTATAGAAAGCAAGTGTTTGTTGATTCTTGATTTGCATCATGCAATACCACAAAGCAGTCAGATCTTCTTGGTTGAGAGGTTCCATTTGCTTCTCAAATTCTAAACAAGTTACCATCCGGGATTTTAAATAAAAATCATTAATTCAATATATGACATTTCATTTAATGAAAATCACATACCTTTGGTTATGACCAAGAGATGATTGGGAACTACACAAAATTTATTCAATAAAATGACATGTTTCCCATATTCTTGCACAAATAGATCTTGACTATAGGGTGAGAAAGGATTCACCTTAAGTTTCGGTTGACTCTCGTCCTTTGGTTCGTAAGGCGCTTTAGGTTTTTTGGCCAAGCTAGGAGCCAAAAATATTTCAAACTTTAACTTTTTAGTAAACTTTATGGTTCTGACTCCCCCGCCACACTTTAAAATAATAGCTAATATAAGTACCTCTATGCCATTCTCCGTTACTTTATTAACGGTGCTTTCTATAAAGTGTAATTCTCCACGCATGAGCGCCCGGCGGTACGTTTCATTAACCTTGTTCTCAAAATTCGTTTGCATTTTCACAAGTTTCTAGTTATGAAAGGAAAAAAACACTTTATTATAAGCAAGTCTACGATATTTCTCCTTTATGAACATATTGCGGCTAAATAAATACGGTCAATTTATTGCTTTACCTCGTTCGTTAGAATAGTTAGAATAAAAAATTTTTGATTTGATTATGATTGCGTCACACCTGATCACAACTGATGATCGGGCGGCTTATGACATAAAATATTTCAATGAAACCTACAAAAAAAAAAAAAAAAAAAAAAGTCAGCTTGTGCTCTCGTCATTTAATAACGTTTTTGTTTTCAACTTTTTAACCGATAACGATTAAATCGTAAGAACATCAAAACACATTAAAAAATGAAACATGGAAAACATCACAAAAAGCTCGGTCGTAATCATAGCCACCGAATGGCCATGTTACGAAACATGGTTTCTTCTTTGATTGTACATGATAGAATAAAGACCACTTTACCAAAGGCAAGAGAGGCAAGAAAACTAGCCGAGAAGGTGAGATAATTAGCATACGGAGACATTTAAAAAAGCAAGCACATCAACAAAAAAACATTTATTTTTTTTTTTTTTTTTTTTTTTACGTTCGTTTTATTTCGACGAAATATAATAAATAAAATCAAGATGGTAACATTGGGAAAGAGAGGTGATGATCATGCTAAATCTCAAGCGATGGCGTTTCTACGGGTAATCATTAAATCTTTTTTGGTTTTCTTTTAAAAATACTTCTTTTCAAATATAAAGATTTGCCATCGTTCGAACGCTGCGGCTTTTTGTCGGTTGAATATCTTTATATATATAATAAATGCCATTTTTAGGAACGTGACTTGACTATCCCCAAACTCTTCAATGAGATGGCAGATCGCTATCGGATTCGTCAAGGAGGTTACACACGCATCCACAAATTAGGATCCCGTGAGGGAGATAACGCGCCAATGGCGGTTTTGGAGTACGTGGATACGCCAGGAGACTTAAGTTATTCCATGTTGATAAAAAAATTGGCGCGATTGGAAATCGATCCGTCTCTTAAAATATCTCCTACGATAATCGAGGAAGGGCAAGCTTCACACATGGATAAACGAGAATATAAAAAGACGTTGCGTTGTCTCCAAGGACAAAAAAAATTTGAAAGAAAGGTGGAGAAAATGAAGGATTCGAAGAGTATGTCCAAGGATGATTTGGATAAAAAGGTTGCATCTGAAATTCATAGGTTAAATAATTTGGGTAAAAGGGAGAATGAATTGCGAATTCAAAGCAAGACTAGAAGAAAAGGAGGTCACCTTTCGTACGAATCATATTGATAAATGCTTAGCGGAAAATAAAGTTAAATTTGACGGAAAAACCTGAATGTTTAACGATATTCTGGGTGATAAATATAAACAAGTCAATGCTAACACATAATTTGACGATTTTCTTTTCTTGATTCGGTTTTCCCGGTATGCCCTACATGGAATCGCACAAACTAGCAATATTTGGAAATAAACTAGGATTAATGCACCCATTTAAATTAAAAAATGTGAACATTCCTTATTTAAGGTGATCTTGTGACAATTTTTTTTGTATTCCATAATGTATAAGAATCAATAAATTAAAATATTGTTCATATTCGGAAGAGGTATAAAAAAAATTTTTTTTGAAAAATTTCGACTTTCAACTTGTAGACGAAGAAATAGAACCTTCCAAGAATTCCAAAGAAAGTTCTTCGTTGGTTTACAGTTCGAATTTCTTGTTAAACCGAAAAAGCGCTAACCTTATTTCAGAAATCTTTGAAACTATCACATATAAAAATAACATCTAAAACAAGTTAAATAAATTTGTCGTCATTTACGTTATGATTCCTTGTTATATCAGGGAACTTTGAGTGTTTACGCGCGTGCATTGATATTCAAGGCTATATTGAAGGTTAGTCATCGTCACTATTTACAAATACTAGGTGCCCTTGACACATCTTTACAGAAAACTCACAAAGTGCGTCTTTCTTTGGCACTTTTCCTGAGAACGATCATTTAAACAATATCAAGTTAGTAATTATATTATGAAAAAATTTTCATTATTTCATTTTCGTCTTTAAATTTGTCGTACGGACAAAAATGAGACCCCAGGGATATGTAGTGTCTTGTTCTTTATTGTAAATAGTTATTGGTACCTCGAATATGCATACACCCCTTAATGGATTTAAGCTCTGAGCAATTTTGACAGAATATATTATGTTATAATAGGTTACTGTAAAAAAAGATTATCCAATTGAAAGTTAAAGTTTATTATAAAGTAATATATTTTATGACAATCTTTTAGTGACTCCGTTTTGTTTGCTGACGAAACCTTCAAAAACGTTTACTACATACATACTAAATTAATCACACGAAAAAAAAACATCTCCTTATAAATTTGACCTTTTTTTTTCGTTCATGATCATACTTTCTTTTACGTACTTACTCTTTTCTATCTATTCCTTTCATTTTTATCGACCTTTTTCCCCTCTCAGTTATACGCTTTGTAATATAATGTCTTATGTTCCAAGCGAAAGTGACGCGATTTCTAGTTTATATACGTTACGTTTTTGTGGGGTAAACCCACAAACATCTCCCTTGACCGCGGTACGCTCGAGAATTTTCTTCCATTCATTATGCTTTTTGCTTTTTCATGACCTATCTAACTAGAAAGACCTTGATAATGTAGACGAATATCTTTTACGCACGCATTACACCTTTGAAATTTCAAAATTCAAAAGAAGCTACATTGTATTGCCGACAGCTAGCAAGAGAATATGGTTTCATGATAAAACAAGAAACCAGTTCGAGTAAGGTCGGTACCTTTTTTATGCCTCTCAACATTTCCAAATTCCGGTAAAAGCCTTGCTGCGCCTGGCACTTTGTTGAACTCTTTTTCTTTTTTAAAAAACGAGCCTAGAATTTTGTTATGATTTTAAAACAACATCTTTTCATTTGAATTGGCGCTCTTGGTTTTAATAGATCGAATCGAAATTTATTACGATTATTTTTGATCTGACCTTACTAATAATGAATTACTACCTTTTTTTTTTTTTTTTTTTTTTTTTTTTACGTATTTTAGCATATTTATATCTATTGTTCACGTGAAGGTATCACGGATTCTATGAAGCAAGGCAAGCAAACCAAAAGGAAGCGTTTCTCAAATCGATGTGGCTGCAAATGGAGAATCGTTTTATTCAATAGTATTCATGAAGGTAAAAGCCAATGGAAGTTTAAGAAATCAAATAATCCGCAGCATGCAGAACACAACCATGACTTGATACCTGAAAATCTTCCTGTACCTTGGCCTCCCAGCGCCCTTCAAAGGATTATAGAATACGCTAGTTCCGGATTGCCAACGGGAGATATAAGACAATTGATGCAACAAGAATTCCCACATTTACCTTGGGATGAAAGGAGGTTTTATAATCGGTTAGCAGAAGAGAGGTAGGTTTTGAATTTCTTAATTGAGTTTATGCAATTTGATCACTTTTGAATTGATAAAATCTGTTGTAATTTATGTTGAAACGTATTCAAAATTCATTCTAATTGACAAAAAAAATTTTGAAAGTCACATGACATTTAATTATTAAACGAACTATTCTAATCGTGTAGGAAGAAAATCAAAATTCGAGAAACCGAAAGGAGGGTTGCCGAAACCATCGTTTTGGCCGCACGCGTGGCTTCCTTGGCATGTTCCAATCAAGAATATACTGATAAGTTTCAAACAATTTTACAGAAAGCATTAGAAGATATTTGTGAGTCCACAAATATTGATCCAAATACTGTAATTAATATAAGTTCTCAAGAAGATATGACGACAATATCAATTCCTTCCTCATCAACTTCCGATATTGTATGTAATTATCCTGCTGGCAGTTTAACCGTTAAAAATATTCCTGCGCATAAAGGACGACCTCCAAAGAAGAATCTATTACCCCCACAACTTCAAAATATGTTTCCATCCCAATCTTCCATTCAAAAGGGTTTGACTGGTACAAAATTACCAAAGTTGAATTTGGCTTCAACCTTATCAAACCATCCGGAATTTGAACCAATACACCAACAACATACAAAACTTCAAGAACAACAATTTCATCCTACCCAATCGAATGTTCAAATCCCACTTGTATCTCAATTAAATACGGATGAATTAAATTCATTTTCGTCGTCACAACCTATACTTCAAGGGAACTTGGTTCCTCATTTTCAAAAGCAAGAACAATTTTATGATTTTCAACCACCTCAAACTAATTCACATTCTCAAGATAGTAATCAATTATTCATGTCTCAGGAATATCCTGGTATGAAACTTGATTCACATCTAAATCCACCTCGTGAACAGATTAACAGACATGAGCAGCAAATTCTAGCTCCTCAAAACTCTTCTCAGATATATTCACAACCTCAAACATGGGAACAGCCTAGTTTTATAAATTATGCTTTAACACCAGATATGTTGCTTCGTTCGTGTCCGCAAGTTTTTACTTCACCTCAGGAAGAAATCATAAAACAGGTAAAAAAAATCATTAATTTATATGCAATTTGATTGTAAATTTAATCCGACAATTTTTTAACTATTTGACCGTAGAAATTATTACGACACGGTCCAACGTCAGATTTTCAGACTGACCAAGTGTTAAACCTGCCACATTCAATTCAACATATGAATTCAAACATACAAAGTCAAAATCAACAAATGCTTACGCCACAGTCAGTTGAACATATGAATTATGAAAAAGCAAGCCAACAAGCCACCTTCAAACAACAAGCCACTCCAAATACAGGAGACCAAATATTTTATTTTTAAAATCCCTGCTTTTAAATTTATTTCTTTAAAATCGTATTTATTATAGAGTTAACGAACAACATTGCAAGTATAATAATAGTACCAAATAAATTATCGTAAATTTTTTAAGATGACAAAAAGACATTATTGGAAATTTTTTTAAAAAAAAAAAATTCTTTAAATTCCTAGCTTTAGCAATTTTCCAAAAAAAAAATTTTATTTTATTTTTCCGAACTCATTAGAACCAAAATATAATCATATAATCATTCAGGTTAATTTAGCCAACCAAAAGACAAATATTTGTAATTTTATTTTTACAACGTGTAAAAAAAAAATGAATGAATAGTAGCTAAATAACAATTTAAATTACTAGGAACTCCTCAATTTTCTATTTTAGGTTTCCAGTATTTACCAAGAATAGGAAATTTGCATAAAATATCTTTACGAACTTTTGGGATCGGTTCGACGAAGAGTAAAGCTGCTACACCAAGAGCTCCAGTAAATCCCAAGACAGATGGTGCCCTTTATTTTATTATAGTAATATTATTTAGATATGGTTGGAAGAAAAAAAATTTTTTTTTTTAGAAAATAACATACCATCTTCTTGCTCTTTCTGGAGTTATTCTCATAAGATGAGGTTGAACTTTAATTATAGGAAGAGGCATCTTTTAGGTCAAATGAGTAAGATAGTAAGGTAATAAGATAGAGAGATCTAAGAAAAAAAATTTTTTTTCAAGTTTGCGAGTGAAAAAGAAGTTTAATGAGCACCTACAGAACACAACATATTTGTGTTGCGTCTAGCGCTGTTGCACAAAAGTTTTTTAAAACAAGATCCGGAAATTGGATAGTCGATCAGGGTATAAAGCTCAAGTTCTTTTAAGGGGGGGGTGAAAATTTACCAGTTCCAAGTATATTATGCAAAGAACTGTTATAGATTCTTTTAAAATTTTTCAAGGTTTACAAGTAAGTTTTCATAGGTCAGCACGGGCTTTTTCAGTTAGTCCCATAAATAATCGCGAGGTTAAAGTTAAGAGACAAAAGATAAAATCCTCTCAAGCCCAAAATACAAAAGGGCCTCACCCGCTTGCTATTTTAGCAGTGTTATCTGTTGGAGTTTCAGCATACGTTACTTTAGTTAAAAGTAGAGGTATTAAAAATAACTCTTTTTATCATGCAATGCAGTCAGTTTGACGTGCAGACGTCATCATATCATGATGCAGTGGCCCAGAAGGAATACCTTAAAAAATTATACGTATATGTATATTATATGATATTCATATTTTTTTTTTTTTTTTTTTTAGAAAAAAAGAAATAAACATGACTTCCGAAACCAAAAATTCTAAAGAAAATCTCACAGTTATTTTCGTATTAGGTTAATTAATACATTCAATATATATATATAAATTTAAAAGTATCATTTTTTGATCCGGTTTACGTAAAGATTTATTGATTTAAAAAAAAAAATCCATTCATAATTCATTATAGGTGGACCTGGATCAGGAAAGGGTACTCAATGCGCGAAAATTGTTCAAGATTTTGGTTTCGTTCATTTGTCTGGTAAATTGATTTAATTTTTTTTTTTTTAATTCATCTTATCATTTGCTTCTTTCATAATGCAGTTGATTAAGGTTAACTTGATTGTATAATAGCCGGAGATTTGTTACGCAAAGAACAAGAAAGACCAAATTCACCTGATGGGGAATTGATCATTAAATATATTAAGGAGGGTAAAATCGTTCCCATGGAAATTACTATTGGACTGCTCGAAAAAGCCTTGATTGAAAGTGATTCCAATCGATTTTTAATTGATGGATTTCCAAGACAATTAGATCAAGCTTTTGCTTTTGAAAAAGATGTTGGGTTTTTTTTTTTTTTCCTTTCTCCTTTTTTTATATATATATATATATAAAATAGATAATGTTTTCTTTTTTTTCAAATATTTGATAGGTCATTGAAGCCACTTGCATCCTCTTCTTTGATTGTCCTGAAGAAGTAATGCTTCAACGTCTTTTGAAACGTGGTGAAACAAGTGGACGTTCTGACGATAATCGTGAAACAATTATGAAACGATTCAAGACTTTTATTGAAACTAGTTATCCTGTTGTCGAGCATTACAGGAAGTTTGGAAAAGTGCATACGGTACGTATTTCCCAATTCACCTGATTAAATATTGTTCTTGAATTAATCATAAATTTTTTTTTTGCAGATACCTTGTACGGAAGGCGTAGATGAAGTTTATGCCAAAGTCAAACCAATAATTAGTGAAGTACTCAAAGAAAAATGATGATAAATATCTCTTGGGTTAAAAACCTTTTATTATATGATTTGTTTGTTACAAATAATTTAAATAATTTAAATATATGTATATTTATAATTTAAATATATCTGAAGTCTGCCATTTCATAATCGGTTTAGATTATGTGGAAATGTCTGTCTTTTCATAAGCTGAGAATTGATGCCATTCCTACATCATTCTCGCGCTCTTTTTTCCTAAGTCTTCCTTCTCTTATTAAAGATAGATCTTTCTTTTTACTAATCTTTTGTCCACTAGGAATTCGCATTTGGTCTTTTTCTTGACTCTTTACATCTAATTGCTTGCTTCTTTGTGAAATGAGCCTTCGTACTGCAGGTTTCTTTGGTTCATGTGGAAACAAATCACCCCACATGGATTTACGTGCATCCCGATATGGTGTCTTCCCCTGAGATTTTGGAATAATGCCTCTTTCGATATAACCTATACATTATTATATAAAGAGTTCAGCTTAAATTTGGAATAATTCATTTAAAATAACTAAACTTCAAATTGGAAATCATTATGCGTCAAGTAATTTTGCCTGTCTTTGAACAATAATCCATAACAACGTGTTCGCTTCGCTTCATGGGCGGCATAATCAAACGTGACCAATAATAAGCCTCGGCCGTTAAATCTTTAATATCGTAGAATGAATAAGTTAAAATTGTTATTTTTTTTGGAAAGAATGAACATTACATTTATTATAAAACGTCAAACCGCGCTTGTCATCGACGTCTACGGTGATTTGTGTTGGACGTTTTCCTTTTCTTAGAATGACATAGCTATATTTTGAATCTTCAAAGTTGTCCTTCTTCACATTTTTTGTTTTCATCTGAATGTAAATTACATCAAATATTAGTTTAAATATCCCATCCCTTATTTTTATTTTTTTTTTAACGACACCTACGAGATAATACGGCCTGTTAATACGTTGAGAAAAATGACACCAATTTCTTGAAGCTATCAAAGGACAAGTTCCATCATGAGGACACTAAAAACGTATAATATTTATTTAAAATGTTAATCAATTTAACCTTGACAATACACAAGCATATAACTTACCGGTGCGACCACATGAGCTCCACGATTTGTTTTATCGCTGGTTTCATCTGTAATTGACTCGACTTCATTCATTTGTTGTTTATTTGCCATCCTCAAAATTTTCTTACGCGCTTCCGCTATGATTTTAAATCCAGCCGGAGTACCGTTTTCGATTAAAACCTAAAATAAAGTTAGATCAGGAAAATCGTAAGAAAAACGAAAGGAGGTTTATAATATTACCAGTATATCGCTCGTCTTATTCCACAAGGATTCCAAAACAGTTTCTCTAACGTTATCGTTTAACAGCTCATTCAAAGCGAATGCGCTAATTACGAGATCGTGTTTCAACTGCAAAGGATGATTAAATTTTTTTTTCAATTTTTGACATTTCTACTAAATAAATAAATAAAGTAATCGAGTTTTTACGTGTGGCTCATAGGTAAGGTATCGCTTAAATTCAATGTTGTTTATTTGATCCTTATTAGAATGAACTTAAAGTAACAGAATATGGTTAACTTTTATCAATAAGTTGAATGGATTAGAATTAGAAAAAAAAAAAAACATTAACACACACATGATAACAGCTTCTCCGCTGTTCTCAACATTGATTCGGAGGTGTCAATGCCCAAAAAATTCTGATCACTTTTACCCCAAATATCGTGCGTTGCCCTGCGATTATAAAATCGATTAAAAGCTACACCCATTTTTCATGAAAATTTGTATTTAAAATTTACCATATTGCTGTTCCGGGTCCAGTTCCAAAATCTAAGACATTCCGTGGTGAAAAGTCTGGAATTCTGCTTTTTAGTTCAGTGAGGACATTGAAAATCGGACCATAAGAAATTGGTAAATAGCCTGCGAGATAAGCTATTGCCTCACGATTACCATATTCAAGAACGTGAGGTTTGACTTCGTTTTCCTGAGCAAAGCGCTTGAATGTATTTAGTGCGCTTTTGCATGGACCCATGATGGGATCTTGAGAGAATGAATAAAGAAAGGAATCATTAATAATATATGAATGAAACGATGTTATCAATATGAGTAAGAATTAAAACAATACCTTTTAAATCTATGCCAGAATTAGGGTTATAACCAGTAGTGGACCGCAGAGATAAATAGATTCTTTTTGCATCCTGTTTAATGATTTCCTTGTCGTGTTCTATGAAATGTATAGATAATTTACTAACTTATAATTAATATTAGCGATATCTTTTCGTTTGAAAATTACCTTTGATAGTTTCTAAGACTGCTTCATTTAGCCAATCGGGTAACATTACCCAACCGATTCTTTTGCTGCCGAAACTGGCTTCGGGTGATTTGCGCACATATGGTTTTTCTTCGTATTCTTCTATATTATACAAAGAATCCTGTATGGAAACTGAAGATAAAGCTTTATTTATATCGTCCAAAACTTGTTTGAAAGCTTGGTCTCTAAAAAGTTATCGTGAAAAAAAATATATATATAAATATATATTTTTTTTTTTAAAAAAAAAAAAAAAGTCGTAAAGTAGCAAGCACTTGGCCAAATCAGAAAAATGTTCTTCTTTTATTGAATTTTGTATAGATAGAGAATAATTTCTTCCAAATCGAATATTTTCATAAGGTTTCCCGAGAATTCTCGGTTTAAAATATCTAAAGATCAAACTCATCACGAAATTACATAAACACGAGAAATCGGATCGACATCCCATATCTTCAATTTATACATTTCCTAATGTGTATCATGAGAGCGTGTCGACCTTATTTAGTCAATTCGATTTGTTTAAATAACAACTACTTTTTACGTTTTATTAATTTCTCACCAGACTACTATTATCAACCAAACTAATTTTGTGATCCTCATTCATTATTCAAAATGTTTTACTCAGAGGCTATATTATCAAAAAAGGTAATATACACATGCTTTTCAATATTTTTTGTAGAACTATTTTATTCATAATTTGAATTTTCAAAACATAGGGTCCCCTCGCGAAAGTATGGCTCGCGGCACATTGGGAACGAAAACTTAGTAAAACTCAGTTTTTACAAACGAACATACAGACTTCTGTAGGTATGTGTATTAGTATTAGTAACATTATTTCCAGGTTAATTTAAAAAGTTGATCTAAATCCTATACAGTCATGAACTATTGAAACCATTTTCGTTCAAAAAATTGTTAGGTGCGATTCTTGGAGATGATCAGCCCCCAATGGCTCTACGATTATCTGGACAGTTGTTGCTTGGAGTCGCGCGCATATATTCGCGTAAAGCGAAATATCTATTAGAAGATTGTAATGAGGCTCTTTTGAAAATAAAAATGGTAAATATATTTATTATCATTTTTCTTTATTTATTTATGTTACTCATGCTGATGTTTGTTTCAAAGGCATTTAGACCCGGGGAAGTTGATATTCCCGAGGACCAAAGAATTGCCAGTTTTGAATCTATTACATTACCTGATAATATAACAGAATTCGATATCCTTATGCCAGATCTTGGTTTGCATCTCAGGTATATAATATAGTTCCTTGTGTTTTGTTTTGATTTATAATTTAAGTTCAAATTGATTAAATAATATATAAACCTTCATACTTGTAGACAGTGGACTGAAATAGCTCCGGTTTCATGTTCAAATATTTCTCGACCCCAAGATATCACCATTAGGGACGATTTTGAATTGCCATTAGATTTAAATGTTGTTGATGATTTATTAGGAGATGCTGATGATCGAGACTTTGATTTGAATTTAGATGATGATGATCTCGACCAGAAAGCAACTGGCAAAGATGAAATAGGATCTCATAGTCATGAAGGAGATGAATCCATTTCAGAAATTGAAATTGCAAGAGACGCTCAAAAAGAGGCCCCACTTACCGCGGAAGACGTTATTGGTAAAAGTATGGAGAACGACCCGTTGATGATAATGGACGATGGGCCCGAGTTACGTCTAGACCTTGATATGGATCTTGATATGGATTATACGTTAACAATTGATACAAGCTTGACTAAAAATTTTGAGGACACTAATGAACATGGGAATGTGGACGGAATGGATATTGATGTTCCAGTAAATTTCGACGAAAACAGGTAAATAATTACATTTTCTTATTACGACTGAAGATATGGCTTTATAACGACCATTTGTTATTTTTTTTTTTTTTTTTTTAGCAACATCATTCAAGATAATTTGGAAGGTCCAATTTTTTCACCAGCGTCTCAAAAAAGTGCAGAGAGACAAGGTAAAAAGAGATAATAAATTTTTATTCAATTACTTTTTTACTTCTTTATTAA